TTAGCAGTCTACGTGACCACTACCCTCCCGATGACTGGACTGATATCGCAACTCTGTTGCTGAGTTTGGTGCTCAACAAGGAGAGATGGCTCCAAGTATACTCAATGCACGTCCTCAAAGTCCTATTCCAGCAGCGTGCTTTGCAGTCGTTAGGCACAGAGCATCTTATGCCCTTATTGCGGTTGGTGGAAGGAGAGTTGGCGACGCAAGCTCTTGATGTATTGGAGGAGCCAACGAAGATCACTGGAGGACTAACTGCCAAACAGGTCCTTCGCATGAGCATGCACGTCTCAACACTTACCGGTGCGGGTGCGAGTGAGGGTGAGACAGAGATCTTTGGTGTTCCGGAAGACTCTGGCTGGTGCATCGCGCGTATATCACATCGACAAAGCCAATGTCGCGCCAACGTCCTTGCGGTTGCACTTATGTTCACGACATCATCGCGGATATCTACGGTGCACTTCCAGCCAGAGGTCCAAGAGCCTCTGTTCGCGGATGAGCTTGATGAAGATTTGGGAGTCCTGGTTCAGGACCTGCACGAACTAAGCGAGTTCTTCCAGAAGACGAAGCCTCAGACGCAACTCGTACCGAGTCAGCAGCTGGAAGATAGAGTCGCCTCCATTCTGGCTAGATCTACAGACAGCTCTAACGACATGCCTCAGACTCCATTCGGAGATGTGTTCCAAATCGGTGGATCACGCGACCTTTCGGACGACTCCAGCGATGAGTCTGATCCCGAGTCTGAGGTTGACGCATTCATGTACGACTCTCCAGCCTTTTACCGTACCGCCCCCAATGGCAAGAGTTTGTATTAACTCATGTTCATCACGCTTTCGTTGTTATCGATGCATTATAGAATCATTGTAGTCTACATACATTAATATGGCAACTCTAGAGTTATGTACCGGCATTCAGGGATAGAAATTGCAGTATGATATGAAGTCTAACAGCGTTCGAAGACCCGGTATAGATCTGGTAAGCTTGCCACCTGCACGACGTCGTTGTCCAACAGGGACTTAGGAGCTGCCAGATACTTGCGCATCGCATGAAATAGAATATTTTGTATGCGCCATACTTCAGATTTCTGCGTTTTCTGTCTATCTTCGTCAGAGGCGGGCGCTGAGACGACGGATAGCGGGGCGGGGGAGTAAAAGTACGCTAGCTCGCGCATGAAAGAACCAAAGCACTCTTGCTCAGACTCCCAGATGACCTAAGATGACTTGGTATCTGTGGACCAGACGTATGGCGTTGGGACATACCTGAGGCCCGAGACGCATGAGGAACATGGGTAGCTTGTCGAGATTAGGGGTGTACTCGCGAAGGAGGTGTGGAAGTGCCTTAACATCACCAGTCTCTGAAATGTCTAAGGAAAAATACTCGAGCAGCATCTCTCGGCGATCCATTAAGGTCTTGACTATTCGCTGTGAAAGGACGTTGAGTTAATGTCTACCAAAGTACTGAAATTGATCATACATCGACAATCTCATCCTCGCTCATGCCACTGCGTGCTGTGTCTTCTTCCACGTCAACTGCAAACTTAACGAGCATTCGAAGAGATGGTGGGGGATCAAGTTTAAGTCGGTTATAGTCTCCAAATTGCAACAACGCAAGCTGATAGAACATTTCCTCCCTATGATAACAACATCAACACAAGCCTTCGAAGGAGTTTATTAACACACGCTAGTGCAGCATGATTAACCATGTAAAGGTTCTTATTGTGTTGGATCAACGTAAGACACCTGGACATGTCGATCACGCCGACAAAGGTATGTTTCTTGATGATTTCAGTCAGGTCTACGTTTTATGTGTATAAGAGCGTTTTCGTTGCGAAAAAATATGCATAGCTCACCATGGTGTATGCGCTTGGTAGCAAGACGCCTGAGTTCTGCTATAGATGCAAAATGGCACGTCGATTCTTTGATGTCCCGTAACCGGATGGCTGTTACAGGCTCATCGGATTCGGTTCTCAATGGGTCAGTGACCGGAATCATCGAGTCTAGTGTGCGATCCTGTAGGGAGGTCCGGACTTTGTGCTGAGAAAGTACCTTCTTCACTACTGAACAAGATTTGATAGATATTTGCTTGAAATTTGCGCAAACGCTTACCTTGACTTCCTGATGCTCGGCGATCATCCTCTGGTGCCTCGCCATCTTCTTCCACTTCATCGACATTACTCGCTTTTTCCTTGCCCTTCCGTGATCCTGATTGTGCGATGCCCCCCGTGAGCAGCGTCTGTCAATAAAGATGTTTGGATTATAAGCGTAGCGTATATCTTTCGATGTACCTGATACTCAAATACCCGCGACTGACTTTGACCTGCGAGTTTCTGCTGAATGGCATCCGATATTCGCTCGATGATGCTTTCTTCATTCAAGAAGTGAACCTCGCGCTTGGTCGGATGCACATTGACATCTACAGACCTCGGGTCGAGGTTGATGCTGCGCGAATTATTATTTTCTTTTCCACTGGTAAGATTCGATCTTACCTCAAATACACGAAAGGAGAAGAACCTTTTGGCAGTATACCGCTGTATATGCTCTCAATAGACCGTTTTATACGATGTGACTCCACCAGACGGTCTGCATAAGATAGGCGTCAGGTTTTGCAAGATAGCAATACAGGAAAGCAGGAACCGACGATTTATGAATAACAAGAGCGCGGTCTTCTTGCCTTGATAGTTTGCGTTAGTAACATATGCTTCTGCCGACCATGCTTCCGGATCTTCCGGATCATCCATGTCCGTGCTGTCATCTGAAACAGAAGACGCCGTGACATGCAGAAGCTCTTTGGCTATGGAATGACCGTAAAGCTGACGAATGGCCTGAGATATATCTGAACAGGATGGGGTCGAGAGTTCAGGACTCAGGGAACCAGCCTACATGATGCATTATAGCGCATCGTTGACGAAATTCGAAGCAACATACCTTTTTACACCCGAATGACACCTTGGAATTATGCACAGCATACTTGGTCATTACATCAAGTATCCGCGCGTATTCTTCAGAGGAGCTTCGGAGAGCAGACATTCGAGTAGGTGTATTATAGAACATGTCTTCGATCTGTGGTGGATTGAGCGATGAGAGAGAGCTATTTGACTTCCTAAGGACATACTATGATGGTGGTTCCGTTGTTTCCAGCACAAGGTTTCGGATCTGATGTGTATCCCGCTTTCGACGGGACGAGACCACCATCAACGTAAGCAGCCCTGTAGGTTTCTCATCAGGTGTTTTCGTTCCGTGAACAGTTTATTATATGCATACTTCCAAGCACAGTTATTTGATTGGGTCTTTGTGATCACTGTCAGGTGGGCGACATGGGATATAGATGCCAGAGCCTCTCCTCGGAACCCATAAGTAGTTAGCTTGGAGAGGTCGGAAAAAGTAGTCAATTTAGAAGTAGTAAAACGTTCAGCGAGCAAGGGTAGGTCTTCTTTCTTCAAATAAGCTCAATGAATGCCTTGATGTGAATGTGAGGAAGTCATACGCGAATGCCACAACCGTTGTCCTGAATCTGAAGCAGCTTCATACCACCATCCTTGACGATGACTTGAATTGAAGTAGACCCAGCATCAAGACTGTTTTCCAACAGCTCTTTTAACGCAGAAGCGGGTCTGTGTATGATCTAGAGGTGAAGTTCATCAGTACTCATTCGCGTCTGTACCGTGGTCAAGCCAGTGCATACTTCGCCTGCTGCAATTCGGTTAATAAGGGACTCGTGAAGTCTCCTTATTGGTTGAGGGCCAGGGGGTTCCGGAGAAGGAGAACGGGCACCGCTTGTCATGCTCAAAGTCGACAGTGGTAGGTGGTCAGCCAGGCAGCGCGTAATACGTATAAACTTCAAGCTCGTCACGTCCAATCACGTGATCATCACGTCGCGTAATTGACAGCAGGGGTCAAATTTAAATTCCAACGGTCAATCGCTTGAATGAACCCTTAGTACCATGATCAATTTTTCTGCTGAAAGAACTAATCGTGTTTCATTTTGGATACGGTTAATCGAACCCGGAGCTACCGCGAACCTAAGTTTGAGAGGCGGTAATGTTAACTATTGCAGGTGTCCGACTCGGACATAGTGAACTCTGCCTGGGGCATCATCACGAGGGGCCATCATGTATTGTTAAGTGTATGAATAGGTATGAATGTGGATCTCAAACACTCTTAGTGCATGCCATGAGCTCCTTTTCTGAAATCTGAAGTTGGCCTTGAGATCATCATGATGGCGGCCGTCTGCTTGTTCGTAACACAACATGCATGAAAGCCATGCAACCGCTTTAATACGAGATTGTGTAAGCACGGCTACTGAGTCATATCAGTACATATACGGTCACTGATACTGAAAGGGAAAACTAAGTTTTCGGTATTTTACCTTTTGGCGTAACGGTTATGCGCAGGTGGCAGTCTGACTCTTCACAGCTAGAAGACATAGCTTTGAAAGCGTGCAAACGGCGATTGAACTTGAACTTGTAATTATCTCGCATGCGTCCTTCAGCATCGAGCTATCGATCAAGACTAGTCTTAAACGTCTCAGGGTCTGGGCAACGTCTGGATCTGAAACGACTATCAAAAATATAATCAATCGTACTTCACATTACCTTCCTTGCCAAGCTACCGCTGCCTACGTGGTCCCGGAGTCGTAGAAATTAGTCGAGCAACTAGATTATAGCATCCTGGCTAAAGCAGCCCCAAGTATACCAACCTAGAAGTAAACCTCTTCAGCATTTGCATCTGGTACTAAGTATAGTACCCCGAGCATATAACCCAGCGCAAAGTTAGCATGCTGCGATGCGTGCGTTCGGTTAGACTGATGGTAGTTTTCTTAGTCTTTCGAGCTGTCCACAGAACTCAAGTCCTGTCACGAATCGCGAGCTATTAGTAGGTGACTCGAGAATCGAAAAGAAAAAGCGACAAACACTTGCAGGGTGTAGTTAGGGCACTTGACCAAAAGTAAGTGTTTCGAGAAGAGAGCGTGAAGCGTCACCTGCTAAAATGACAAAAAACGAATTCGGATACGGGGAATCGAACCCCGAGCTACCGCGTTGAGGTATCATCATGAGAGGCGGTAATGTTAACCATTACACCATATCCGATACAATAGTGACTGACATCGAAGACCATCAGGATCAGGATCAGGCCGCATCTGATATCGCTTTCATGCCAAAGATCAGTACTTGGTATGGCAAGTTAATAGACAATGTCGCACCATAGGTCTTTGTAGGATTTATGTCCTTCCTGTGACTAAACAAATACCCCCTCCCAGCTTTGCAATCAAGATACGGTACGCCAATGAACGAGCAGGCGCCCACTGCATGATATCGAAACAGATAAAACTACTACATGGCTGAAATGTTCAAGGAGATACTTGATCTATTTTCCTTGCTGTTTCTGGGATATCCTCGTCAGCAACCTTGCCTTCTTCCCATGCCTTACGGAAGCGTTCTTTGTCTTCATCTTTGAGGGCGTCAAAACCATCCAGCTCATCGGCGGATTTCAATTCAGATTTCATGTTGGATATGAACTTGGCAGTCGTGCAACCCCAATGACGCCATGAGCTGCCGAATTAGCGTTAGAAGGCAATCTCTGAGTATGCTACTGTCACTCACTAGCTGATATGCCCCTGAAATTGACGACCCAGCCAACACGAAGCTCTCCTTTGGCAATTGGAGTGCCTGCAGTAGATGTTACATTATGGAAGATAATATTGCAATTAACTGTGCGCACCAGAGCAGGGTTTGGGACCTGTCGATAGAATCGTATGAACAACACGCAAAATCAACAAGTAATATGCTACCCCACACCTTTGCATTTGGATCTAGCAGAAGTCGCGTATTCCAAGCGATATAAGCTCTTGTTAATAGTTCCCTCGTCGCCGGACATCGCTGAGAGTGTCGAATCTGGGATATTTCAGGCGGGGAAGCGAACAAAAGATATGTTGGGTGGTTCGTCTCGACACTGTTGTTAGAGTCAGTAAGGCGAGATGATGGAATGATAGTGCGCTTTGCTCGCACGGTAATGGTGATGAGTGTGTTATCATCAAATATCACTGTGGGAGCACCTGTGATGCCCACCTAAGCCCTATAATTGGTACCTGTGGATCGGGTGTACATGTGCGCCTGTGGTTGGGGGAGTATAAGGCTTGGATGAATAATTGTTGGATAATGCTCCTTTGGGACTTGTGGGAATTGATGAGTTTCGGAGGTAATCTCATTCAAACCATACAATCGCTTTAATGCGAGCTAGGAGGCTTAACTTTAACAGTGTACGAACGGCGACTAAACCTTAGCTTGAAATTATCTCGCATGCGTCCTTCAGCATCGAGCTATCGATCAAGATTAAGTTTAAACGTCTCAGGGTATGGAAAACGTGTGGATCTGAAACGACCAGCAAAAGTCGATCAATCTCCCTCCTTGGCTAAGCCTACGTGGTCCCGGAGTCGTAGACGTTGTCAGGCAACTAGATCATAGCACATTGGCAAAAGCTTGCCCAAGTATACCGACCTGGAAGTAAACCTCTTCAGCATTTGCATCTTAGTACCCCGAGTGTATAACCCAGTGTAAACTTCGCATGCTGCAACGCGTTCGGTAACTTCGGTTAATGGGTTTTTTTTAGTCTTTCGAGCTGTCCCAATAAGAGAAGAAAAGACTTCATAAGTACCTGTCACGACTCGCGAGCTATTAGGTGGCTCAAGAATCGGGAAGAAAAACGACGAGCACTTGCGGGGTGTAGCTAGGGCACTTGATCAAGAGTCAGTGTTTCGAGTTGAAACTCGGAAAAAGAGCATGGAGCGCAGCCAAAATGACAAAAGTAAATTCGGATACGGGGAATCGAACCCCGAGCTACCGCGTTAAGGTTATTATGAGAGGCGGTAATGTTAACCATTACACCATATCCGACATATCCATTGTGTCGTTAATGTCCATCAGGATCTGGATCAAGCTGCATCCGCTATCGCATTCATGCCAAAGATGAGTGCTTGGTAGCTGATACATAGCAATCTAAGAGACAAAATCGCAGCATGTGCCTTTGCAGGATTTATGTCCTTCCTGTGATGAAACAAAAACCCCTCTCTCAACTTCGCAACCGAAATACAGTAAGCCAATGAATGAGCAGGCGCCTACCGCATGATATTGAAACATATTCTACTTGATATAGATATAAAACCACATGGCCGAGAATAAATGCTCGAGGAGATACATGATCAGTCACGAGATCAACGGCCCCTACGTGTCACGAAATTCTAGAAATACAAATGAGTCCACAGTCCTACGCATGAAAAAAATGCTGGCTTACATCCAGATCCTGCGATGTCGCTACAGCAAGTACGAAATTCCTGCCCTGGTCCGTAACTACAACGATTAGAGCCATTAGGTGCCAGATCCGCAAAACGAAAACATTCAACTGAAGACGCACCTAGCGCAAAGATATTGTCCCGTAAAAACTCTGCCAGTTCCGCAAGGGGCGTCAGGGGAGTTATGAGGGTGTAGTGCTGAGACGCGCTACGATTGAATTTGGTCATGTATTTACTGACAGTAGTCGTTCTGAGCAGTCGGATTAAGTATATATAATGGAGTGTCAACCTGATAGCAATACATACTGGTGATGCAGTGCCTGCTTCCCACTTTTCTTTCAGAACGGCGACGTCTACGTACCCGAGAGGACGTCGGTCGTGGTTTAGGACGCTGAACGGGAAAGTTAGACATTGGCGCGCACAGAAGAAACGTACTTACGGTATATGGGAGAAGTCACGATCATATGCTAATTCCATTGCACGAGATACGGATTCGGTGGAGGGCAAACAGAATGCAGGGGGAAGTTGCAGGTCCTAGTAGTGATCGATGGTGCGTCGACATATCTTAGTTTCGTACGATTATTAATTAATCTCATGATACGTACCTCTACTACAGCGCCACGGTATCTATCGTTTGGAGGCATTGATATTGAGGCGAAGATGTTGAAGGGGACTGCGTCTGATGGGAGTTGAATTGAGGTTGCCATTTCTTGAAGGGGGACTGGATGAGTGAGTGTACACACGCACCACTTAAATCGTCAAAGCCTTAAGGAATGGACCGATTCCTGTCAATTTCGAAGCGAAGGCCAACCGAACCGGAGAATACCCGAGTTACTTGTGACTTGATGTGACGTTGTGATAATAACGTAAGCCTGTGTTGTGACTGTAGCGTTCTTTCTTCTTGATCCATCGATCGTCGAGAACATATTTTCACAGAAATCGTGTTTTGTTGTCATATTGATGTTTTATAGCAATCGTCGTGAGGTGTCGTGATGGTGTCCCTTGTCATCAACGGTCATTCATGAAAATTGGTATAAAGCAATGCGAGTACTCAGTTTTGGAGTTGTGTAGTAGCTTGTCAATGAATGAACCGATACATGGCGATAAGTATTATGTTCGCTGGCAAGCTATGCAATCCAGGTTGTTTTTCGAGCGCTGGTTACACGCCAAAATCACATCTGATCAAACCACAGACGTTCCCGATGTTTAACCTAACCAGCGCGTATGCTCGACAAGAAAGTTTGATTTGATGGTTTAGATTGTGTTTCTTTGTACTTATCTCTAGCCTTTGTCCAATTTACGAACTTGGCCTTCTTTTTCTGATATCGCCTAGCTGGTATGGAGATCACATTGAGAGTGCCGATTGCAAGCACAAAGACTGTTTCCTATCAGTAAGTTCATCCTGCCTCCGGTACGTCAACCCATTATGATCAGATGATGTCTGGGACAATACTACATAATAATTCTCAACAGTAACCTGCCGTCGATGCGATGGCGCGTCAACCTCTCAAAGACGTTGTGACGGGGGTTGCCACGTTGCCGGTGGGACAAGGAGTAGCAGTCAGGAGATAGGCCGAGGGGTGTCAGAGGTCTCGGGGTTTTCAGGGTCTCGTCATACGTAGACATGTAGCACATCGTGATCTGTGATACGTATCATGGAACATGTTTTTCGAGGGGTTCTGCATCAGTTGGATCCATCAGTGACCATACAATACAAAGCTGAGCGCTGACCGACCGACCGCAGGACTTCGTTACATCAATGCTGTGTATTGACAGTGAATGTAATGATGAGGACTCGGATGTGCACGGGTAAGAGCGGCATTTGCAACGCCCCACAAACAAGTACTTCACAGATTGGTTAGAACGCCTGACCCAATATCAACTTAGGCGTGATCACCTAGACTCGTAACTAGTCTGGACTACGTTGTCCCTGGTTGTAACGATGCGCTCGGGAGGAAGAACACTGAGATGCTATGCTGGTCGCTGCTCTGGCTGAATGCTTAGTATGTATCGGCATTCAAAAATTGGGCGGATCCAAAAATATACTTTGCTTCGAACGTCGTAAGGCTTCTTACACTAACCCGGCTTTTCTACGTGATTTCATTCGCTGCTATCAATCAAAGAATCTGATTCGAGAAATCGACACCCGAACTGATCACTTTAAAAGAGATGGACGGCGGCATATTTACATGCGCTCAAATACACCTCATCCCGATATGACCAATGTCTTAGATGATACCGCCATTTGGGCGAATTTTTCTTGTCTTTACAACTATTTTTTAGGTTCGTACTGGGATGCCAATGGTGATATCTCATTATCTTTGACTATCGCTTCCCAGCTGCAAGCTGTATTGTGGTGGTATATGACTGGGGTGAGCGAGACAATACATTCAAACGAGGGACCATTGATATGTATACAGTATTTAAGCATTGACATTCGGACAAGAGGTGAGCTAATGCCATGACCTGCAGTTGCGTATCTCACTTAGAATGCTTAACAGTTCGAACTGATCTTAGTGAGCAAAATACTGTATCAGAACTGAATAGGATGACACAGTCGACTCGGAGCAGAGGAAACGTTGGTCCTTCATGACCGTTCTTTATATCTGTGTACGTTATTGTTCAGTAGAGCGCAGTTAGCATGTTGTGCTGACTTCAAGATATGCTAGGTGCGCTACATTGGAATACTAAATTCTGTGTACGTCTGCAAAGCTGTCTACATAACACTTCAATGTACTAATAAGTTATCTCTTACAACCAGCGTCAACATCCTGGGTATGTGTTCTCAGATGCGTTCGCTTC